TAGGATCCAGTCCTGCTCAGCGGTTCTGCTCTGAGCAGCAGAATCAGGGGAACATCTGGGTCGGTCAGTCCTGCTCCACCATGAGCTTCTGCATCATCTGCTCTTCATATTAAATATTGTCTCTGAATATTAACATCTGCTTTTTATCTTCATAAACAGTTTAACTTTACATCAACTGTCCTTTCAAAGTAATAAAATATATTTATTTTAAACTTCTGACTGTTGTGATCAGTTTGTGTTCAACCATGAATTAACTATTAATACTCAGCATTAGAGAGCCGGCAGCCATGCTACCTCTGGAGAAGCTGCTGTCATCCACGGCTCAGGTGAGTGGTTCTGTTAGCACTGCTGGTCCATATTCCCACAGACCCTCAGGGCTGCTGGCTCCACATAAAGTTCCTCAGAAGGATTCAGCTGCTCAGACTCTGATCAGGAGGAGAGAGGAAGCCTCCATCTGAATACAGAAAACTGAATCGTCTCCTTCTATGGGTCAGCAGCAGATCTCTATCCAGGGAGGAATTCCAGAGATCCTTTAGCATTATTGATGTCATTATGGATGAAAAACACATGGATGACTCTGGTTGAAATAAGGACTACAACCTGCAGGAATAGAACTACAAAAAGTGCTCCAAATGTAGCTAAAATCTGAAACCTTTTGTTCTAAACCCAAACATCTGAGGGTGAGAACAGGGAGAAACAATGTTAAACTCGGTGAGGTGAGCTGTGCCTCATGGTCTGACACGCATAGGATTGTGGGAAACCTTTCAGCTCCTAAGTGTTAGATAGAAACATCAGGAGGTCCCTATGTTAAAGAAACTTTGTTAGGAAGCATCCTGCTTGTCACTACCCGATTGGTCCTGGAGGAACTATTCATCCTGCTCATGCGAGAACAGATATACATCTGGCTGTCCATAAATAATGTAATTATGGTACTAAAACTACTTATTTCTATCCTTAACTCACTAAAGAATGCTAATACATCTTTAAAAATGTTCTATGACTTTTGTCAGACAATTTTGATGCTTTTTACATTTTCTCTATTAAACACCTTCTCTGACGTCATCATGGGACATGCTCAGAGTAGTAAATCTGATTAAACCATGTCTATCTGCATTTTAGTTGTTTCTTTCTTTACATTACGCACTATATACCATAATATTAAAATGAAACTAAAACATAAAACTCAGAAAGACTAGATTTATGTTTAAATCCAAAGCCGAAAAAGTTAGCCACCAGAAGTAGCGTAGCATCCCATTTCCTGTGCAGATCGGGCAGAGACGACTGATAAAACAGAAATTTAAATGCAAGATTTAAATGCATTTCTTCTCATAGGAAATACATTATTAACATATAACACATATTTTATTATGTTTACTATTTTTGGTGAGGGAAAATATCATATAGGTATTATAAACAAAATAAAAGGAGGATGATCCGGATGTATATCTGGATGCGCGTGCGCGGAACAGATCGTGCTTCCGGGACGGATTGGGTAGTGACACGGCTTCCTCTTCTATGGCACTAGAGCTGTCTCAATTTTCACAAATACATACATGTGATTCATACAAGCACCGTACAAGATCCACACACTCACAGCACGATTCACGCAAGCATACAAGATCCACACATGCACAGTACAAGATCCATGGTCCATAAACAATTATAAATTAAATTACGAAGTACCAGTGGTCTTTAAACTTCACTGCATTTGTGTGTAGATTTTTTAGACTCTCCTGACTCTCCTCGATACACAAATGCATTTTTAACCTCTTAAAACCCACGGGGTCGACGGCGACCTTAAGTGAGGGTAATAATTCAGAATGCATGAAATTCCACTGGTAAAGTTTTTACCAGCAGGTGGAGCCATTGTGCGCAGCTCCAAGCTGACACCAATCTTTATTACTGCTGTTCAAAAGAGATCTGTTAATTACAAGAATAAAAAAAAACAACTTTGAGTNTAATCTTCTGTCAGATGATCATGGTCACTTACCTGTGTTTCTCCCACTACAGAGTGTCTGAGATTGGGCGGTGCCCCGCCTGTCCGTGAGCCACAGCTCCGCTTTAGTTTATTTTAGTTAATAAACATTTTGAACTTTCCTACTGGCTGTCTCTCTTTGAATACTGGGTCCATCTGTCCTTGTTTCATGACAAATAATGATTTCATCCTTTTAATCTTGTCTAGTTTTATTCATAGGATGGGAGCGGATTGCTTTATTTTTTCATATTCTAAACACAAAATTTGTTCATGTAAAAGAGGGTTTGGGAGTTTGTTGCTGCAGCACACATTGAATAAAACCTGCTATTGTAGATAAAACTAAATGGGTTATATTTTGGAGTCAGGGAGGAAACATGACTCAAAGATCAACGATGTTCTACAATCATCTGGTCTGAACATGTTTTTAGTCCTGTTCTCCTCTAAATCTAAAATTGGAATTTCATAAGGTGACCATTAAAGTAATGTAAAACCTCTACCACTGTTATTACCCAAAACATTCAGTATTTTTCTTAAAAATAAATAAATAAATGATTTAGGGACATCACAAAATAAATATTAAAAAGTGTTTATTAGCCATTACTGCTGTACCGTTTATTGCCGTTAATAGTCATTCACATAATGTGTCATTGTCAGTGTTATCAGTGATGGGGGTAACGGCGTTGAAAGTAATGGCGTTACCTTTTTTTAGTAACGAGTAATCAAAATTATTACTCTTACTGTAACTATAATGCAGTTACCATTGCCGACATCCCGTTACTCAGGTCGCACAATTAACCTTTTTTTTCTAGATAGGCACGCCTTGTCATAAGAGAGAGGAGGATGGGATTGGCTGTTATGGGTGTTAACGTACAGCACACACAGAGAGATGGAGAGTGAGGAGGACTCCAGCAGCAAAAAAAGCGTTTTCCACATGGAAATAGCGGTGTTACGTCGAGCTGCGTTTCCCCATCAGATACAGTTTCCCCTGCATCAGAGGCCTGCAGGGGACAGATTTTCCAGCCCCGCCCCAGCAGTGTTCAGTCCTGCTCCAGCCCGCTCCCGCAAAGAATTATGATTTTCTGTCCTGCTCCTGTCCGCACCTGTGATAGTTTGTCCCGCTCCCGCCCGCAATTCCCGCATGATTCCTATGTTCGCCTACTGCTCAAGGCAATTCGTGTCATTAGTTTGCGTAATTAAACACGCTGTGCTTAGATGAGCACATGCTGATGAAGATTCTCAGTCATCCAGGTCATAGTCATTCCATAAAAGTTAAAAAAAAAATCCACTGGATTTGCTGAGAACTGGAAACAAAATGTGTATATTGGAACAGTTGTCAGTCCCATCCTTTGAGAAATGTGTTATGCTTTCAAAGATGTAATTAATAAAAAGAAGAAAAAAAAAAAAGAAGTTGAGTTCTGACAAAGATGTGTAGAAAAAGATCTCCAGGATGTCAAACCTGAATTAGTTTCTCATACCCTTAACTGATCCCTTCCAGGATACTGAATATCACAGATTCCCATATAGGTATTTTATTTATTCTTTTAATCCACCCAACTTAATTTAGATAGGGTCAGCAGCTTTATGAGATTTAGCAGAGACCATGAGACTTTTGTTTTCATGTTTGGAGTCACTTGGAGAACACATCTCTGGTCCTCCTTTAAAGAACAAAACCCCTCTACAATGGGTGTGAAATTTATTTGCATTTATTCGACTAAAGGAGAGAAAATTACAGAACAAACTGAAAGTGGGCCTGCAAAGGCTACTGGTCAGTTTGATCATTATTTTAAGCTTTTTTTTTTTATTCTAGCCATCAGTGGTCATATCAATTTATGTCAGTCCTTGCCTATTGAACAATGTGCATGCAAACCAGAGCAGCAGAGTTGGAACAAGACCCCTACCATGTGTGCCTAAAGATATACATTGAGTTAAATAAATCAATATTAAATCAATTTACGATATTCAGCTGAAACGTATGTACATGGGAGCTTAAGGTCATGTGGATTACAGATTCAAAGATGGCTTGTTACCCAAAGTCTGCTTGAAATTGATCCTGATGGTCAATGCTTAGGAAGATACCATGCAATACTGAGAATTTTGTTTAAAAAAAACAAGTCTGTACTAAAAAACAAGTCTGCTCTTGTAGGCTATTGCTGATCGTTATTTTGTATGTTGCAGAGCAGCTTTGTTATAGTTTATTAATGAATAATGTTTTTTGTTACAAAATGCAGGAAAAAGTAGGATCCTTTATGTCTTTATGGAAGATGCCCATACAGCAGTCAGCCTCGTTTGCTGTACACCAAAGTGAACCACAAGTTACAGATGATTTTTGGTCTGCTCCACATTTGATATTTGTAGCAAAAGAATAAGCAAATGTATAACTTATAAAGCTGAGTTTGTGACACATAGTAGCAGATTTGTGCAATTGTAATTGCTGATTTGTAGTGTTAAGGGGAAAAATGTGATAATGAAAAAAATGTAGTCAGAGTTTAATACAAGTATTTATTTTGGAACCAGTTTTTTTAGATCATATGCAGCAAAACTGAGATTGACTTTGAATGTGTGACTCAAAGTGCAATTTGTATGCTTGTCCTCATTTTTTTAATTGGGAATGATAGAGAAAAATCAGATCAATTTACAGCAATTTGACAGAAGGAAAACCGTATTGAAAGTAGAATTTTGTGGCTCCATAACTTCGATAAAATCCAAAAATCTCAGAGCCCCTTTCCAATTTCACAGTTTCTCCTGGTTGCATCTCCTTACCACCCCAAGCTTGTGAGAACCACTTCACATATCAAGCAAAGTGCTTTAAACAGCCTTTCATCTCTCTAATATTTCTAAGAGAAGGGCATTTTTTCCCTAAAGGATGACATCATTATCATTATTAATAATGTTCTTATCACCACACATACAATACTCACAAAAATTAAAGGAAAACTTTGTAATCAGAGTATAGCATTAAGTTAATTATTTGGATGTTGATTTGGTTGCTGTTGCCATTATGGATGAAGAAGGTGTGATGTGTGAAAAAAAACAAAGAAATCACCCTACAAAAGTCAGCTTGAGCAGCAAACAGAAAAACAGAAATATTAAGAGGTCATTACTGGTACAGCTTGGTGCTGCTATTAAAAGTGTACCATGCTTATTGTTGTCCATCCATGAGGCTGCAGATGTTGCTGATAATGCCCAGATGTTTGTGTGTTTGAAATGATTACTTTTATTGATGGTAAAATAGCTAGATGCTTATTAAATAGTGTACTTTGTTAACGTGAAAATGCAAACATACGAGATGGCTCGAGTATAAAAGACTTAAACTGGAGTTCCATTTGGATCTGTTATCAGGAGGAAATTATAACTGGACCTCAGTGAGTTTAGTTAAATACTCTTGCTATACGGTATATTATTCAGCGTTAAAAAGACTAATAAAAAAATAAATATGCCATGTGTTTAAAATAAAGGTGTCATTTGGTTTATAGTGTTTGGTTCTAAAAACCTGTAACAGCAATGTGCAAAAGAGAAACCATAAATAAATTAGTTTACATAAAAAATATATATAAATGTAAAATGTGCACAAAAAAAAGATAACATTGTTGGACAGAATATCAAGCACATACTGAAGTGCTGCAAATACAATTTACCTGAAACAGGTTAAAATGGTTTAGGACACAAAATGTAAAATGTAATTATTGAATAATTAGTCCTCAAATCAGGCACAGGAGGAATATGTGCTATTTCAAGATCTATCCAAAGGCTAAGGGTAAAACTCATAAATCTAATTTTCTGGAAAAAAAAACTAGAAAAAATCTTTCCAAATTGGTTGCTTTGTGCTTTAGGGAGTTCTGGAAGGTTTTCCATCTCTATAGAAAGTATAAGTCTATCACTAACTGTTCCCCTTAGGCTTTGGTTTCTCTGATGAGTTTACACTGCTCTTTCTTTCTCTCAAGATGGATCCCAAAACCAATAAAAAAAACTTTTGGTTATTTCTATAAGTAATGATTCCAACATTATCAAATATATAATAATGTAAAAAAGCACTGCTTATCATTAAACCTGTTACTTATGCTTGGGAGAGCCCTGCTAATCGATTCCACTATTCTCCAAGCTTTGCAATGGTAGAGTAGAGAGCTGTTTCCGTTGAAGTTTGTGCTGCACGTTTAAGACTCCCATTCGAGATGGAAGATCCATTTGTATTTTCAGTGGAACTGTAGTTGTTGATATTGATGCGGGTGTAATGCAGCTGTCCTGCTGGTAGGTTTACTGTAGAATAAAGAGGAAAGGCTGTGTTTGCTTGTTTGTTTTGTGTCTCTTCATATTGGTGATTTCCATAATTTCTCTGGAGAATTTAACGATAAAAAAAAAAATTAGAGCAATGATGAGATATATGCGTCTGGTGTTTTTTTTTTTCATGTAAAGAAGACAGACATACAGACCTGCTTTTTGAACAACATTTATCTTCTGCTGTTTCCTCCTCTTAAGCAAAACACACTGAGATAGAGAGCATAGAAATGTAACTACAGGTTATAATTTTAGACAGACAGACAGACAATCCTCTATTAGAATGTTTTTGCAAATCCTCCCTCACCTTGCAAGATTTTCCTTTGAAAAATTATTACTGCAATTATAGCAGCCATCACTATTACAACACTCATAATACCAGCAATTGTACCTGCAAACAAATGAAACAGTCATAACAATATTGAGTGAAATCACAGTATACTTACAATTGTTCTTAGACAGAAATAATGCAACTGAGGAAACAAAAAGTAACAGTTAAAAAAGTATATTTTACAGGATGATTAACATCCCATTCTTTACCTGGACTGAGTTTTATAGGGTACTGTTCATTCTCATCATCATCTAAGAGAGATAGAAACAAATAGGACTGTAATACAGGCAGCAACCAATACCCTATTAAAATATTTTACACAACAATTTACTGTAATAAAGCTGTCTAATTTACCTGAACTGCTTCCATTGTCTTGAGATGCACCATGTGAAATAGATAACCACACATAAAAAAAAATTAACAGAAAAAAAACTGATCAAGCCTTTGGTTTTGGATCAGCCTATTTAATTATTTAACCAAACAACCAATAGAAATGATAACTGTTGGTTTACTAATGTGACATTTTCATGTAATCGTTTTTGACATAGTATCGACAGTGGCGTTGGATGCAGCACTTTGCGCTGCAATTGCAGAATTAGTGTCCCATGCCTCTGGCTTTCAATCTTGTAAGACAAGTTAACCAATATTTTGGTCAAAGAGACCGATTTGTATTGGTTTGCCCTTTTACCATTATATCAGAAAAAAAAACACAAATTACTGTAATTAAGTTATGTGTACCCAGGGATGCTTGAGCCGCTGTTTAGCTTTCCCTGATGAATACAGCATATTGACTGACTGTATATTCTCTGTCAACAATTTTGAGTTCACACCAGCAAGCAGCAGATAAAAGCTAAAAAAAATAAAAAAAAAAAAACTAACTGGAGTGAAGCTCGATGCCCACCATGTAAATTGCTGATGAATGGTTAGGTAAGCTTCAGGAACAAACTGCGGCGACTTTGTCGCTGGAGACATGAATATTGTATGCACACTATTACTAAGAAAGTGGAGAGGAGCTTAAAATACCTTTAGAGAATGATAATTCCCCTTTCCTTACCTGGGCTGCCTGGTTGATTAGAATCTGCACCATGTAAAACAGATAACAATAAAAAAAACTGTTATAAAGAAAGCAAACAGTAACCAGTTAAATATTTAAAGACTAATAAAGTGTTGTTCTTTACCTGAACCCTCTATTGCATCATCATCGGCATCATGTAAAAGATAACCACAAGTACCACAAAGTTAAAAAATAAAAACAAGACCAATTAAAACTGTTTATCTCACTTTAACCTTTCTCCCTTACTTTTTGAGGGAGAGAATTTTGTGGATCTTAAAAAATTTGTTCATTGAATTATTGCACAATGATTAAAAGTAGGAAAAACACAAAAGTGCTGGCTAATGTGATTTGAATTCTCACTGTATGATTTTACCCAAATGTTAGCAAAACCAACAGAAATATATGGATATTTCCACTGTGTATAAAGCTTTCATTACTGTATCACAGAAAGTACTGAGGTAGGAGAGCAGACATCCCAAGTCTCCCAAAAGTCCTGGGAGTCTCGCTGATATAGATAGTTGTTTACGGATGACCGTGACTCGGATAAATTATCATGGATTTTAGACTATGTGAGGTGGGTTTTTTTAATGCGAGTGAGAGCGGGCAGGCAGTATAATAATTCCTGCATCATGTGCAGATTACAACTGCTTTGATTGCGCACTAACAACAAGAGAGAGCGGGACGTGAGGAGGAGGTTACTTGTGAAACCTGTGCAGCGTATCTGTCCAAAGCGATGCTCTGTTCAAACAGCGTTCCAGGCGACTGGTTGTCAGAGAGCTGACTGGATTAATCCAATAAGTTTCTCTGGGTTACTCTCTGGCAGTCACCTAGTTACCACTCAAAGCTGTGAAACGGCAGAGGTTTAATCCTCGAGTAAAAAGCGAAAATATAGAACTAATTTTACAGCAGAATATACAAAAGTATATCCACGTCTAGTGAAGGTGAGGAACAGTGGCGGATCTAGACGAAATGTACCAGGGGGCCAGGTGGGGGCCAGCATGTTTTCATGGGGGCCCAGAAGAGCATGAAATAAAAAAAAACAGGGCAAGAGATTCAAATATATTAAGAGAGCTGCATGAATTGAAATTTCTTTTCAGTTAGGTTCAATAAAAGTTTATTTCTTATGAGGTCAATATACATTTATAATATAGGAATTTTACATATTTTTGACTTAATTTAAGTTAAGACAACTGTTTTCTATAAAATTTGATTTAGAACCCAAGAAAAACTGTTCAATTCATCTGTAAAAATTAGAGCATTTTTTTCTATTTGTTGCGAAGAAAAAAACATTTAGCAGATGAAAACTGGGATCCTATCTCAATACTGAAATAGAAATGAAATAGATCCAAAGGACCTATCAGTAATCATGTCTGTTCCAGCCCAGATCATTATTAGAATTTCTTTTAAGTATTATGTCTTCAGTACAGGGGCCATAACAGGGGCCAGGACATGATCTACAGGGGCACTGGCCCCCGTTGGCCCCTGTCTAGAACCAGCCATGGTGAGGAATGATGACACTGTGGCGAGGTGCACTGTATGCTGAAGTCCCATGAAAAACAGAAAGTACAACCGATGTTCAAGGCTACAAGACAAGGAAATAAAAGACCAATACTGTTCTATTTGTGTTTAAGAAATTACTGTTAGTTAATAATAATATCTCCTATAATAATAACAGTTGTTGAAAAGTTGCTTATCTTAAGTGTGTATGTATGGGGAGGGTCCAGTGTATAAAGTTTTCATGAGTGTATCACCGAAAGTACTGAGATAGGAGAGCAAAGATCAGGAGTAGGCAGAGAGGTTTGATGTGTTTATCTAGCAGTAATAAACAATATAGATGAACAATAAATTAGGCAGATCCTTATGATGAATATGTTGAGTATTTTCAACTCATCTGAGAAATCCAGTTTGGGTGCAAAATTAGATAATGGTCAGACAGGGCAAAAAGTTTGAATTTCAAGCATTTTAATCCTGTATATTTAATCCAAAGTTTAACTCTTATATTAAGTCATTATTGATACTATATTGGATGGCTAAGCTAAAGCAAAACAACCATGATTGTACGAAGAGCTTAAATTGATTCTAATTTATATAATCAACTATGTGAATTATTTATGAAATACGTCACTACAAAAAAAAAAAAAAAAATTGTTTCCTGTCCATGGGTATAAGATGTTTACTTCTGTGAATACATTGAAGCATTTAAGGATAAAACAGTAATAAGTGGTTATAAAGTCGGTGTATAAAGGGACAAAGGGGTAAACTCCCCAGCCTGTAGTCTGATATTAATGGATAACTCTCTTATACTGTACCTTTGCTTGGGGCAAATATTTTGGTCAAAGTGGCCAATTTGTATTGGTTTGTCATTTTACCATTATAGATTGGTTAAAAAAAAACACTATCCCAATAGATTGGTTGTTTTTAACCAAAAATTTGATTGGACACAAAAATACCAAAGAGATTGGTCAAAATAAATACATTTTTTTTGGCTGCATGAACAATCTGTTTTTAGGATGTAGGTTAGATATGACTGCGATCATTGCCTGCAGTAGCGGCAAGAGGATGCAGCAGGATTCTGGTCCCAGCAGAAAAAAAACCCACAACAACTTACTGTAATCACATATTTTACTCTCGGTTCACCATTCTGAGATGAAACCAGCAAGCAGCAGATAAAAGCTTGAATAAGTAATTGAATGAAGCTTGATGCCCAATATGTGAATTGTTGCCATATCGTTGGGCGAGTATCAGCACCCAACTGTGGCAACTTTGTCACTGGAGTAACAATTATTGTATACACACAACTAGCCAGAAGGGGGAGAGGATCTTAAAATACCTTTATAGAATGATAATGACACCTTTCTTACCTGCGCTGTCTTGTTGATTAGAACCTGAACCTTGTAAAACAGATAACCATAAAAAAAAGCTGTTATAAAGAAAGCAAACAGTAACCAGTTAAAATAATATTTAAAGACTAATAAGTGTTGTTCTTTACCTGAACCCTCTATTGCATCATCACCGGCATCATGTAAAAGATAACCACAAGCACCACAAACAAAGTTAAAAAAACAAACAAGACAAATAAAAACTGTTTATCTCACTTTAACCTTTCTCCCTAACTTTTTGAGGGAGAGGATTTTGTGGATCTTAAAAAATGTGTTCATTGAATTATTGCAAAAAGTTTGAATTTCAAGCATTTTAATCCTGAATACTTAACCAAAAGTTTAACTCTTATGTTAAGTCATTATCGATACTACATTGGATGGCTAAGCTAAAGCAAAATAACCTTGATGGTACGAAGAGCTAAAATTGATTCTTTCTAATTTATATAATCAACTATCTGAATTATTTATGAAATACCTCACCAGAAAAAAAAAAAATCTGTTTCCTGTTCATGGATATGAAATGTTTACTTCTGTGAATACATTGAAGCAGGTGCAAAAGAGATCTGTTGTCTGTTCTCACAAACCAAAAAGCAGTTTACATTATGCAGGTCCTCTGATTAGTGTACTGGAATGGGGGCCACCAGAGGTTTCTGCTATGACCTCTGGGGGACTTTAATGTTGTGGATGGGTTTGATTGGAAAGAATGGCCTCCAAGAGGATATCCCAGATACAAATGGAGAAAAAGAGCTTCCTCTGGGGGGTTTCTGGAGCTTCTTTCAGGGGATCTCATAGCGAAGTTCATAATTTAGGCAGTTAAATAAGGTGGTTTGCTGACTCCGATTAGGATGCTTCCTAGGTTCCTCCCTTTGGAGGTTGTGGTACCTCATCTCACTTGGAGGAGATCTTCATAAAGAACCAGAACTCACTGGAAGGATTATAAGTCTCATTTGACCTGAACTAATTGTAGATCCTTAAAAAATGTATTAACTGAATTAATGCACAGTGATTAAAAGTAAGAAAAAAATTACAGCTGAATAATGCGATTTAAATTTTCAATGCATGATTTTACCCAAATATTAACCAAAACTACAGAAATCTATATATATTTCCACAGTGCATAAAGGTTAAATCCAAAATGGTCCTAAAGTGTCTCTATAAAAGTAATCAATCTCATATCCTACACATCAAATTTGCAAAAAAGTAACCACTAGGCAGCCACTCCGCATTTATAATAATAAGCAGCATAATTAACATAAAATTAAATCTTTATAGGGTGAGGGTTCTACAACTCAGTTGACAGGACATGACATTTATTTGTTTATGGTTTGTTTCATATTAGCTATATGCAAAACTTTTTTTTATTTATTTTCACCGTTTATGAAGACCTACTGAAAGTATTTTCAGATTACACATGAAGAAATTAATTAATTAATTGTGCAGGGGAGGAAAGGAATTACTTCAGTGTTAGGTTAGGATTCATCCAGTGATACCAACCTTCTGAGCCTCTTGTAGGTAGGAGGAACAAGCTGAAGCCATTCTATCGGACTGATAAATGCTAACAACAGCCAT